TGTTTTACTCTTAGCAAGCCATACTGTCTCTGCCACATTTACTCAACTCTGCCATGTGCAGCAAAAACAGCCAGAGAAAATAAATACTAAAGGAACAGGTGTGAGTAGCTGTGTTCCAATAAAGCTTTATTTAAAAATATATGTGGTGGTTTGGATTTGGTTGAAAAATTTATAAACTGTAGAGACTCCTATGTATAGACTGTGCAAATGAGCTTGAAATTGTATTAGACATATCTAAAGTTGTTGTTTGTAATTTTTAAAATAAAGATAGTGAATGAAATTAGTTTAAGCTTAAAAAATAAATGTGATACATTAAATACAACTTGGAACACATAATAGGTTATCTCTAATATCAATGACAGTATTTTTCATCTGTAAGAAATGGTATGCAGCCTTCCTTCTTTAAATAAACCTGACCCCAGAACATTTTGCATTGACTTTAGCAATGTCTAGTGTGAGGCTGCAGTACTGTTTCTTCACAGACTTGAAGCCCTAATCCAAAATCGGATTCAGGATGTGTGATTGCTTTCAATGGTGAAGAGAAACGGCCAGCTCAGGCAAAGGCTTGGCTGTCTGGTAACCTTGGTTCAGTCACTAATCCATTGCCCCAAAGATGGTAACAATGATAGAATGAAAAGTGTTTCCCTTGGGACTTCAGGGAACCAGGGTATAAAGTGTTTTATCAAAAAAAAAAAAAGTAGCAGTCTTCATTTCCCTGTGGTGATGTAGCATCCCAACATAAACCACAGGTAGCAATTTGGTGGAATAGGAAAAACAAAAACAAAAAAACATGGACTTCATGGACTTTGGAGACAAAGGTCCAATTTCAAATCTTTTTTTTGTCACTTAACTTGTGATGATGATAAAATCCTTTAATCTCTCTAAGCCTCATTTTTTTTTCACCTGCAACATTCAGATGATAAAACCTGTCCTTAAAATATGTGGTTGGTTGAGAGGTTTCAGTGCGCTGGATGTATGAGCTAATAAACGTTCTTCACACAGTTGATGATGCCCAGCGTGAGCCCCATACATGTTCATTTCTTCGCTTTCCCATCTCCTTTCCCCAACAACAAGTAAAATAAGACCACTGCTTTTTTCCACTGCCAAACCATCCATTTCCCCTGCTAATACATGAGGTTTATCGCTCCTTCCCAGATGTGAAATTATACTATTGGTATCATGCCTTCTGTATCTTAATCCCTTGGCTAATGTACCATTTTCCCTTGAACTGCTACACAGCGCTCTGCCCCTCCTGCTCTCCTGGCTTACTGCAAAGTCATGACGCAACTCTTTTCCAATATTATTGTTCTAATAATAGCACTCTCACAAAACATCTCAGTCACCTTCACCTCGTCAGACTGTCCAGTTCTTAAATCATCTAGCTACCTGTTTATAATTGTTTCTTTTCCTTACATAGTTGTAGCAATCTACGTAAAAGCCTCAGTGCAGTGGTGGATGTATACACACACCGAGGTGTAACATTTTTACACATAATATATGTACATGTATATATCTTTTTCCTACTCTTTTGAATCTTTGTTTTGGCAAATAAATTATTAACAGATGAGTTTTGGGAGAAACACATCAATATATTTAGGAAATTGAAGGCTTAGTTAAAAGTGTGCTTTAGCTGCATCCATCTGCATTCTCTTGATTCTTTAAATTCCAAGTGCTTCTTATCTATTCATTAAAGCAGATCAAATAAGACTTGGTTTTAACAAATTCTGACTTTCCTACTTCATATACAGCATACAGTAATAGCTCAATGTCTGAAGATTTTAACTTCAAGGTTATTAACATAGACAAGCATAAATTTGAACCCACTGGGCTGGCAGTCTGATAAGCCAAATAGAAACCCTCAGCTGGGATATGAGATTAGTTGACTGAAAATTCAATTTTGGATATTTTGGTACTTACACTGGAGGATAGAAATATCTGGAGTGTGAGGGTCAAGAGTCCACTGAATTCTTAGAAATGGTAATTATCCCAAGTATGACTAAAAGAGATTGGAGATAAGCAGAGCACACCAAAATGTTTATCTCTGAAAAAAAAATTAGTTTAGTGTCTCTTTTTTGCATTACAATTGAATGAGATTAGGGACAATTTAGGATGAGAGGTTTCTTGTTTAAGGGTGAGGTGCAAGGTGGACAGTTTGGGAAGATTTCTAGTCTCAAATTGCTTAAATGCAACAAAATGTATGCCAAAACAAACAAAAAACAATGTGTATGCTTTACAATATCTCCTCCTCCTGGAAACATCAGCTTGAAGAATGGAAGAATCTTGTCCTGGCCATTCAAAGCAGTAACGGGGAGCAAGGGGTATTGAGGTCCCTCTTCTCCCACCCTCCTCATTCAACCTCTTCTCAGCCCTTGCCAAGTGATGGTGTCAACGCCGTCTCTCCAGCTCACTACTGCTGCCTGAGTCCAGGTGCCCCTCTGGTCCTGCTGCTGCTGGTTCTGCTCTCCTCTCATTGCGGCCAGATTAGCTTTACCAATTTCAGACCCAATCATCTTTCCCTGCATAAGGCGTAGGAAGTAGGAAGCATGCATTGTTTCCTCGCATGCTCCAGTGGCTCTCTATTACAGGCAGCAAGACATCAAATTCCTTAAGATGACTTATAAAATTTTATTATCCCTGCCTATATTGCCAACCTCATTTCCTAATATATCTTACCTGTTGAGTGACCAGACTTAGCAAAAACGGGAAAAAAAAAGAATATTTATGTATGTATGATCCATGGAATATTTGGATATACTTATCCTAGAAAATTATTCTTTATCTGAAGTTCAAATTTAACTAGTTGCTCTGCATTTTATCTGGCAACCCTCACTTACACAGATACCAAAATCAGCCAAACTAAAATACTTTAGCACTTTTTTTTCTTTTTAATGTACTCTTCTATCTCACTCAACTCTAAGTTCTGTAAGAGCAGGACCCTGCACTCAATCCCAAGTTCTTGGCATATTTTCGATATAGACAATCAAAAGTATTTGTTAAAGGAAGGAGGACAGGGAAGGAAAGAAGGAGAGAAAGAGATAAAGGGAGAAAGCAAAAGATGAGGCAAGAAAAATACCTTTAAATATGACAGATTGATTATAAATATGACATGATCTATATTCTTTCTAAAGTAAAAACCTTATACTTCTAAATTCCTCTGGAAATACTCTCCTAACTCCTCTCGATGGAGTTAAACGTTTCTCCTTCTGAGCGTCTGTAGCATCGTGGGCACACAGCTGTAAAAGCAGGCATTATAATCCTACTATTATTATTTCATCATCCAGGCTCCCTAGTAGACTGTGAGCTCATCAGTAGAAGAGAGTAAATTCTCCTTATCATTTACGCATCCCATGGTGCCTGGGACATTGGAGGCATTCAACAAAGGTTTGGTTAAATGACTGGTTAAATGAAAGTGTGTTAAAATAACTAGTAAGAGCTGCAATTCAAAAAATAATAATAATAAATCCAGAAAAATCTCAGGATATTTTTGAAAAGAATCCAGGGACCCTTAAGAGACTTTTCCTGCAAAGATCCTTCAACGTCAGAATGGAGCACTGATAAATCCTTTCAGGTCTTATTCTATGGAAAAGCAGGTCCTTTTGGAGATTCATGCTGGGAGCCTGGCAAGACTGACACTCCTTTGAGTGATTCTCCACAAGAGGATCAATTTAAGGCCACCAGACCCTACTTGTAGCTGATGTATTCTTGTCAACAGCATCCAGGTGTGCTTCATGGAATTTGGCCAAGATAACACGGCGACTGCCATCTGGAAAGACAAGTGCATCCCATGGGTTTTTCAATGGCAGGCTTTCTCTGTAGGTAAAAACCTCTTCTTGAGGTGTTGTGAGTGGCCGGATTCCTGAGGCCGTTTCTCCCTTGACCTGTTTTGCACATCTAGTTTATGGACACCTGGAGTCCCAAGTCCAGTGTCATCAGACCTGCCCTGAAGCTGAGGATTGGAGTGACTGCCTGTATCTACATGGGCAACAGAGATTGCACCACACAGTCCTAAATAAGCAGCTGCCAGACTGGCCCAGTGAACATGTGAGTCTGATCTGATCACTCTTTTGCTCAGCCCTCTCTTGCGGTCCTCCATCCTACTCAGAATAAAACCGAAGTCTGGGACATGAACCTCAGGGACCTACGTGATGTGGTGTTTTGCTGCCTCTCCACATCCTGCTCTCACACTGCTCCAGACACAGCGGCTTCCTGCTGCTCCAGAAACTCCGCAGCACCTCCCCCTCCCCCTTATAACATACGAAGAGAGAAAAAAGACACAACCAGATTTTTACTATCCAGATACAAATATTTAGAGTGCTTTCTTCTAGTTTGAATGATGTGCGTGTTTTAAATCATGATGTTAAGGCATATTAAAATTAAACATAGTTATTTTTGATACTGTCTACTTTCTTTAGCTTTAAGAGGGCAAATTTTATTCATGTAGAAAATCTGAAATTTCAAAAAGTGCAAAGAATAGATTACACAATGTAACTTTTAAAAAATAATGATAATCAAGTGTATAACTAATGATAACCAGAGGCTGCTACTTTTGTTTTTGCCCTTCTCCATTTCTATGTATTTTAATGTGTTTGAAATAATGGCATATGTATTGCTTTTAAGCATAAAGAACTCAGACATGCCCATAGTTTCTAGACGAAAGGTAAAATAAAGAGAGGCTTAATGACAGATAATATCTGCCAGTGGGTGGTATGGTTCTTTCCAAAAACTCAGGCTCTTAATATAAATTTTAAAGATGCAGAAAATCACTATTCAGTTTCTGTGCTATTGAAAACGGCCATATGTCACTCTCCGCAGCTCCATTTTTGTAGAGATGAAATGGATTTTTTGTTGTGTTTTATTAATCCTCTCAGAGGTGTTTTAAAAATTTCAATGTTTAAGCAATAATTACCGAGTGCTTGAACAGAAAACTAAGAACTATTGTTTAAAATGGGCATCAGACATGGATGCAGAATTATGCTTATTCTCGAATTCACTGGTCTTACCGTGGTCCAGACCGTCATGAAGCAGCTGACTTCATAGACCAGTGGAATGGCCTTTGAAGACCTGAAATGCCAGCTAGGTGCAACTCTTTGCAGGGCTTGGGCGAGGTTCAGCAGGAGCGCGTACACGGTCTGACTTAGTGCCCAGTATGTGGTGCTGTTTCTCCCATACGCAAGGTTCGGGGGTCCAGGAATCAAGGGGTGGAAATGGGAGTGGCCCACTCATTATTACTCTTAGTGACTTACTAGCAAAATTTTTGCTTCCTATTCATGCAACCTTAGCCCTGCTGGCCTAAACATCTTAGTTGCAGGGGGAGGAATGCTTCTACTAGGAGACACAAAGCTGATTCCATGGAAATGGAAATTAAGATTGCCACTCAGCTGCTTTGGGCTCCTCATGACTCTGAATCAACAGGCCAACAGTGAAAGAGAGTTACTGTGCTGGCCGGGGTGATTGATCCTGACTACCACGAGGAAATTAAATTACTGCTCCACGATGGAGGTAAGGAAGAATACGTCTGGAATACAGGAACTCTCTTAGGGTGTCTCTTAGTATTACCATGACCTATGATAAAGGGCAATGACAAACTACAACAACTCAAATCAGGCAGAACTAATGATGGCACAGACTCTTGTGGAGTGACAGGTTGGATCACCCCACCAGGCAAAGACCATGACTGGCTGAGGTGCTTGCCGAGGGCAAAGAGAACAAAGAATGGGTAGTGGAAGAAGATAATTATAAATGCTGTGACTACATGACAATCTACAGAAACTAGGACTGTAACTGTCGTAAGTATTTCCTCCTTATTTTGTTATGTACGTGTTTTTATGTATATGTAGCCTATAAATAAGCTACCTGCTTTATATTTACATATAAATTTATTTTCTTTCGTATTTAAACAAAATATACAGTTTTCATTGTTTGCTTTTTCTTTTTTTTTCTCTCTTATTCTGATATCATGCAACATAAGGTGTATGACTCTGTATCATAGAAGTTAAGTCTTGCTAATTTTACATCATGGTACTTAAGCTCCAGGATGTCGAGGAGAAGAGCAAACATCACTCAAGGACTTTACTTCTTTTTCTGGAGAAGAAATTAGTGCATTTTTGGTTGTAGCCAGGATAGTTGTTTTGTGCTAGGCAGAATTATGACCTTCTTACTGTCTTTATTAGGAAATTAAGTATGGTTTAAGGAGATGCATATGGGTGCCAGGATGACAAAGGATGAATCTGTGGTGGTTAATGCTATGCATCAACTTGACTGGGTCATGGGGTGCCCAGATTAAGCATTATCTCAGGGTTTATCTGTGATAGTGTTTCCACATGAGATTGTGTTTGAACGAGTAAACTGAATAAAACCCCCTGTCCTCCTCAGTGTGGGCAGGCATCATTCAATCTGTTGAGAGCCTGCATAGAAAAAAAAAAGAGAGAGAGAGAGAGAAGAGGGGGGAGTTAGCAATTTGCTTTCTCTGTTTGACTCTCCGAACTGGGATGTGGGTCTTGTTTTGTCCTTGATTGAGACATAAACTATTAGACATCTAGTTTTCAGAACTACACCACAGGCGTCCCTGGGTCTCCAGCTCACAGACAGCAGATTGTGGGACTTCTCAGCATCCATAACCATGTGAGACAACTCTTACAATAAATCATGTATTAAATTATATGTCATATATATATATATATATATATATATCTCCTATTGGTTCTGTTTCTCTGCAGAGCCCCTTTACAGTGCACAGTATCTTTTTCCTCTTAAAAATGTACAGATACAATTCTCCTAAAAGACCTTTGGCATTCAATACCCCAGAAGTTCTAAAACTGTCTCTCACAACAATTTAATTTTCTGTAATCCCAGTTATGTTCTTAACTGCTCCTTAATGCTCAGTGTAGTTCCACAGTGGAACTTTTAGGTTTCCTAGAAATTCTTCCTCATATCATCCAGCTCCTTTTCCATGCCATTTTATTGTCTTTTCTTTATGACCTTTGTCCTATTTTTAAGAGGCTAACATTTCTTGCATCTCATCGAACGATGCCAAATAATCTCCTAAAAAAAGAAAATCCATTTCCTGCAGCAGATCTCTGTCAAGGGTTTGTTCTTCCTTTGAGTTTTCATGATCATCTTTGATAACCATTGTTCCAGTTCCTGTGCTGTGGCTGTTGTTATTGTTGGGGTGCACATTCTTCACGTTTTGTTAGCTTTTTTCATTTCTAAATAAAAGAAGGTATATCAAAGCCCAGCGTTTGCCAGAAGAGCTCAAGGATGAATGTTTCTTGACCCCACTTCCTTCTGGTCAGGTCCTCTTTTCCAAGGTAAAACGACACACCAGTTGAAAGGTCACTGCTCCAAGATAAGCTCCACATTCTAATAACAGGCTTTATGACCTGTGGCTCTAAGAGACAGAAATGGAATTCTGCCCACATTCTCTCTGGATTTCTAACAACACAAACAGTTACTGAATATGAAAATAATCATCGTCCCCCCCGCCACACAAACACACACACACACACACACACACACACACACATGTACTGCTACTAGGGTCTTCCCACTTCTCCTCCCCACCAAAGGCACAGGAACCCACCCTGGGTGGCTGTGCATCACTGCCATTAACGTCCTCCTTCTCGCTTGTCCTCGGACAATGGCCATCTCTGAGGTAGTAAAATAAATAATAAGAGAGGAGAGAGACCAGAACTTGCCTCATAAAATGGAAAGGCCACCCGGGATAAAGATGGCTGCGAAGAACAGACAGGAAGCAGCAAACCAGCCACCCATAGGAGGAGTCTAACACTCAGACATGTTTGAAATGGTCGGCATCATTTTTTAAATATTGGTGCAATACTAAATCTAGACAAATGGGAGCATACAAATAAGACCTAGATTTCCAGCTTCTGCTCAGCTATGGAAAAATCTGGCAAATTTGTCCCTGTGTTCTTGCAAGACAAAAATTGGTTGTCTTTACATAAAACATATCTTCTTCAGTTTTCCTCAGTCCTTTCCCTGGTCAGCCCACTCATTTTTGTTACCTTAGGAGTTTGAATTTTCAACCCCTGATAGAAAGTGAGTTTTTCAGTATGGGTTAGCCTCCTAGGGCCATAACAAGTTACCACAAATTTGGAGGCTTAAAAACAACAGGAATTTGTTCTTTCACAGTTGTGGAGGTCAGAAGTCCAAATAAAGATGTCAGCAGGGCCATGCTGCCTCTGGAGGCTCCAGAGGAGAAAGCTTCATTGCTTCCTCTGGCTCTGGTGGCTTCTGGCATTCTTGGCTTGTGGCCACATCATCCCAGTCTCTGCCTTAGTCTTCACGTGGCCAAATTCTCTCTGTGTGTCTCTGTGTGTCCTTTTCTGTCCCTTATAAGAACACTCCAACTAGATTTAGAACCAACCTGAATCCAGATGATCTTATCTGGACCCTCATCTTAACTGTATCTGCAGAGACCCTATTTCCAAATGAGGTCACATTCTGAAGTTCCAGGTAGATGTTAATTTCCACCAAGGGATCGATTCAGGGATGCACAAAATGGGGGATACACAACAGAAGAAGGATAATGGTTGTGTCCACCTTTTCTCTGTGGAATAATTCCCCAATAGCACACGCAAGCCCATGGAATGTGTTCTTCTCTCAAGTTCCACTGACCTTAAAGGTGGAAAATAAAATTCTCCTGGCTCCAACCTTCAGTTGATTGTCAGCCCAAGTTTATGGCTGTGTTTTGAGTTTACATCTTCTTTTAAACCTTCGCAGGCATTTTATTGCACATTACAGAGAAGCTGTACCAGGAGCTGTTAGCAGATACCATTTTAAACCAGCAGTCAGTGAATCAACTTTACAAGCTGCAATTTAGAAAATAAGGAAAGGATGAAGTTTTCTTCCCCTCCAAGTACACTCCTCGTTTCCTCCACACTCCCACCCCTCCCAATTCTTCTCCTCAAATGCACCAATCACGTGGGTGACTTTCAAGTAATACGGGAAGCCAGATATGGTAACTGTCATCTGAGGATAGAGCAAAAGACTAGATGAGACCGAATGAGACACTGCAATACAGCTGCTGAGATCTTTCAATCCTGAGCTCTGAAGCTTCCATTTGTTGATTAAATAATGAAAACAGGTTAGGAAAATGTTAGTAATCAGCTCCACACAATAGCTTTTGTTGCTGATTTGTATATTTAATGAAAAAAAAACTAATTACTGTATATTCATTATTTTATTATGGTTAATATGCCATAGCAAATGTGGAAGGATGAAAGCCTTTATGTATAAGAAAAGTGCTTTACTCCTCGGAAGACTAAAGAAAAAAAACAGAAGGAAGAACCTTACACTTTCAAAAGCTGACTCTGGAAACTGAGGTCTGGAGTGGCAAAAGGACTTTCCCCAAATCATCCAGCTAATTGGCAAAGAAATTGGAACCATATTTCAGGCCTCCTGCCTTTCAGGTTACTGTTCTCTGCAGAAATAATACAGTTAAATCACCTAAAGCAAGTTAAGAATATGTCATTTTCTATACTAATTCCATTCACTTTTCTATACTAATTCCATTCATTCATATATTACTCTGCAGTTTCCAAGGGCTTTTACAAAGGACATTATGTCATTTGATTCCCATCAGAATCCACTGGTATCAGAACAGTAGGTTTTACTACTCTAGTCTGTAGGTAAGAGAATTTATATTTGAACGGAGGCTAAAGAGTAGATGTTCACCAGGTGGGTAAGAGAAGAAACAGCATTCCAGCTGGAAGGAGGGAATTACATGGGCAAGAGACCTGGGTGTACAACAGGGCACAGCCTTTCAGGTCGCTTCCAAGAAGAGTGTGGTTTTGGAAAGAGATCCCCAGAAAGGTTCAGATCAGGTTATAAAGGCCTTTCTGTGCTAGGGTGAAGACTTTGAACTTAATTTGTCAGATAAGCAGGCTGGTGATGGTTTTTAAAACACAAGTGTGACATGATCAGAATTGTGTTTTAGAAAAATAGGTCTGTAGAGTAACGCCTTCATATTGAAATAACGCCTACCTCCCTCCTACTTCACGTTCAGACAGGTAACAAGAAAGAAGAGTATAAAACAATAGTAAGGGAGAAAGATTATGACAAAACGGAGAGAAATCCGATGCCCAAGCTAAAAGGAACAGCCACTATTCAGCCTCACCCAGCTGCTGATCCATGTGAACCAGTGAGGTAAGATTGTTCAAATTTTCAAAAGAATCTGGAAATGTAGAAATTTTTCTTGTATTATTGAAGTACAGTCAGTTACACTGTGTCAATTTCTGGTATGGATTTTTATGTAAAATCATCTGATTTTTCAATTTTGACATCTTCCGTAAAGCATCTTAGACAAAAAAGCACAGTGAAATGCACTTGGGGGCTGCTTTTGCCCAGCAAGCCATCATTTTGTCACTCGACCTGTGTACAGTTTGGGAGAATGGTTTAGAATCCATTTCGAAAGTATAAACCTAAGGCAGGGCCAGTGAGGAATGAAAAGAAGAGGAATGGCTAACCATCAAAATACAGAACCTGGAAGAAAGCCAACAGGGGGCAGAGGAAGCAATGTGACCTGGTATTGTGGAGTCTGGTCTGCGATTTTAGTCCTCGGTAGCATTGCTGTGATTGCAGACAGAGGTTTTTGTTGTTGTTGTTGTTGTTGTCATTGTTGTTGTTAACATAGAAAGGAGTAGCAAAGAATGGTTCTGAAAAACAAGCCTCCAGTACCATCCAAAATTGACTTCCCCTGAGCCCTCCACGTTCAAAATGGCGCACGGCGGCTCCAGTTTGGATTCAGAGCCAAGATGATAAGGAAGACAAGTGTTCTCTCTGTTTCTTTGCTTCAGCCTCTGAGGTATTCAGTTAATGTTCTCTGCCATAAAAAAAGAAATGGTTGGTCTCCTTTCCCTAACTACTCTGTCTCTCTGATTTAAGTACTTTTCACCTGTGAATGTCCTTGGTTACTTCTGAACTATATTCTGTCCTATAAAAGGCACTAAATTAAAGACTGCTTTGGCTCTGTGTTTTAGCGAAGTGATTTTTGAAAAGTGCTGTAAGATCACTCCTCCCTTCAGAAAGCCAGTGAAGTTCACCTTAAATGTCACCTTCTTTCTTGCCCTAAAAACCCACCCCTTTAAGGTCAGCTCAGGTGACTTCCCCACAAAGCCTTTTCTCACCACACCAGCACCACCTTGCAATCCCAGATTGAGTCAGTGCACCTAGACTGTGTAAATCATTATCATCTGCCACCGTCTAATTCATTTCCACTCTTGAAAAACCGTATACCATTTTCCATCAGCAGCCAGAGCAGTCTTCTTAAAATATAAGTCAGATAGTATCACTACCCAACTTAATTCCCTACTGGCTCTCCTTTGCAGTTAGAATAAAATGTAAACTCCTTAAAATGATTGGCAAAACCCTGGATTATCATCCTATCTACAACTTCTGCCACTTTTCTCTTTTTCTGATTACATTCCAATCACATTTGCCTTCAAGGGACTCTTGGATACCACCACAGGGCCTTTGCACTGCTGTTTCTCTACTTAAATGCTTTCCCCAGGCTTTCTGCATGGCTGCATCTTTTTCATTCTTCTGTAGGTTAAATGTCATCTCCCCAGAGACATCCATCCCTGATCATCTAAGTATTCACTTTCCCAAGTTATTCTCTCTCAGCATCTGGATTACCAGCTTCATAGTTGGGGCAGCTATAATAATCGCATTGCAGACCTCCAAATGCTGGAGTGCAGTTGTCTAAGGACCTCAGCGGTTGTTTTCTGAAATCTACCCACGCACATGCTCTAGGCTGCACTTCCCATAGGCTGTTCCTGGCCGGTGGCTGAGCAGGGCAGGCAGGGACACTAAGGCAGTCTTTTCCTGGGAGAAATAGGACTCCTCTGACCAGTGACCGTGGCTGAAACTCCCATCTGTTTGCTGAAACCTTCTTAGACTCCATGGCAGTCTGAGACTTTTCCTAACTAACCTTTTTCCCTCCCTCCGTCCCTCCCTCCTTTCCTTCCTTCCTTCCTTTCTTATTGACTTTCTCCAATAAAATGCTATCTCCTTGAAGGAAAGGCTCTTGTTGGGCTCTCTTACTACCATGTCTGCAGCACTAGTGCCATCCTGGCGTAGAATAGGTGCTGTTCAAAATTTGTCCCGTGTTGTACATGTCTATCAACACGTGAACACATCGTGTTGAAATGTGCCCACCTCATCTCTTACTAGATTGTAGAGTTTCTTGAGACTATTCTGTTGACTGGTGTTTGTTCCCAGCAAATATCCCAGAACCTGAGGCACAGGGGCAGCTCAATGTTTGTTAAATTGATTTACTGTTTTCTCCTTTCTCCCTCACTCTTTCCTACCCAGTACTCCCCATACACTGCAGGCAACACACAGTGAATTTCTGTCTCCCACAATGCAGTCTCCTTTACCGCAAGCAGCTCCTCCTGCTGTGACCCGCGTCTCTGTGAACGTCTTCACCATTCCCCCAGGTCTCCCTGATTCCTCCTTCTTCATTGCTGCCCTTCTACCTCCCCTCAGCATCTCAGGCTATCCAAACAATCACTAGGTCCCACTCTTTCACCTCTGAAGTAATTTCTCGTTTAATGAACTTTTCTCCATCTCTCCCACAACTATCTGGGTCTAGGTGGCCATCATCTCTTCCCTTGACTAAAGGGTCAGGGAACTGTCTCCTTCTAATGCACTCCCGCCTTTCATTATGCTATTTTGCTGATGTCACTTCTTCCAAGAAGTCTTCAGTAGATAGGTTCAGTCTATAAAAGATTCCTATAGGAACCCCACTACTCCATCACAGTACTTGTCCTAGTCAGACTGGTCTGCTATAACAAAAATATCATAAAGTGGATGGCTTGAGCAACAAATATTTATTTCTCACAGATTTGGAGACTGGAAAGTCTAAGATCAAGGCACAAGCAGATTCGGTGTCTGGTGAGGGTCCTTTTCCTGGTTCATGAATGAAAAATATTGCTAGCCATATCAGTAATCAAAGAAAGCTGTAGCATTCAAGTCTTCAGCTGCTACCTCCACCCAGCCCTACCCCACCGACATTGCGCAGAGGGAACTCAGGATGCAGTCAAGCAAGCGGTCCAGCCTCTGCAGCCATCTCCAGCCATGCACCCTGAGGGAACCCTGGATGTGGAAGAAAAGGATACTGACCCTGGACAGCTAGGTGCACATCGAAGAAAGGATTTCAGGGAGCCCAGTCCTTCGCATCTTCCCACACAAAGAAAAGCACTAAACTCTTTGACTTCAGATATCTGGTTTTCTTTAATTAGCAGTAATCTTTTGATGTTCTGGCTACCTAATCTTTGTTACAAAAATTCCTGTATGTCCTGGCTTCTGCCTTGCCACTTTGAAACAGTCTCTTAGAGCAGTCTGGGAGGCTGTGTCCCGGGCTTGAGTCCTCAGGAAGTCCACCAAATAAAACGAACTTCTCAGCTTCTTGGTTGTGCATTTGATTTCACCCCACACATTCATAAACAGTGTCTTGACAGGTTCGTTAATGGTGTTTTCTCACTGTGTCCCCATCTGGTAGAGACAGAGAAAGAGAGCTCTCTGGGGTCTTTTTATAAGGACATTAATTCCATTCATGAGTGCTCCACCCTCATGACCTAATTACCTCCTAACAGACCCCACTTCCTAATACCATCACACTGGGGTTAGGATCTCAACATATTAATTTGGGAGAGGACACAAAGATTCGGCCCATAAGAGCGCTTATTACGTGGGCTTGTTTAATTATCTGTGCCCTAACTAAACTATGTGACCCTTGTTTCTAAAACAACATATGACCAGGTCATCCCCCTTCTTCAAGTCCTTGAATGAGTCCCTCATTGCCTCCAGATGTGGGTATGCCCCACTACCTCTCTAGCCTCATCTCTTCATGCTCCCCCAAAGCCCTCATCATTCCCAGTTATAAGCA